TTTCTGGTAGGAGCTAATGTGAGGAACAACAACAACCGTGTGTAACTGCCTCGAGGGTGCTAGACCACTTTAACACAACGTGGTGCGATCATCCCCCTTGCGCGGAGTGAGGGTTCTCCACCTCGCACAACATGATCTACTCGACCACCATCATGGTTACCGCCAAAAAAATCACGAGCAAAAAAAGGAAAAACCGGTAACCTGGTTGCCGAGTTCACGAAGTGAATTGTCTTGTTTTAGAACGTCGTTGCCAGGCGACGAAAACCCAATCCCGGTGACAAANGCCAATCGTTCCTTTCTACCTCGCCAAAGGTGGCTTAATAATGTCCCTCCTAGTCGGTCTATCCTAACGATTTCCCTTCCCGCCTTTTCATCCCACCTCCTATGCCCCAGCACCGCTACCGTCCTTTCCTCTCTATTCGATGCCTCAAAAATCTCCCTTTACGTCCCATGTATTTTTCCCAGCTCAGTCACGTACACTTCCCTCTCCTTCTTATACAACAAACACCAAGGGGGGGGTGTTTCACAACGTCGTTGCCAAGCGACGAAAACCCAACCCTGATGGAAACACCGGGGGGTTGAGGGAGGGGGGCGGGGGATGAAAGTGAGCCGTCGAGCACGCGGCAGCATATCCTGTTCCATCACGCTTGAGAGAGCGCTGCGTGATGGACGAAAGACACTATGTGCAAGCTCCGAAATGGTTGCCGCCAAGCTTAGAGTTGATGACGATGTTGGCCTCTGGTGCGGGAAGAGGCTTTCCAACTTGTTTCGATGGGCATCGTCTCATCTGCGTTGTAGCGCGTTCCATCCTGGCAGTTCAATGCCCTTGACTTCCAGTTCTCTTCCCCGTTTTCGTAACTTGTTCCGGCGGTTCTGTTGGCCCTTGTTCTTGTTGTTTCAATGATCCCCTTGGTGGGGTTGTGCGCCCCGGAGTAAAGTGAGAGAGAGAAACACAAGATAAAAATGAACAAATACTTGGTTCTCGGAGAAAACGCGGCAGCCGTTCGTGTTGTGTTGACACGCGTCTTTGCCATGCCGCATCTTTTGGGGCGCCAAATGTGACTGCGTGATAAAATTAGGTCGGATCTATGGGACTTACCCTCAGCGGGAACCTCGATGTCGACATGTTCAACAAGTTCATGGGGGAATTCCTCCGGGAGAACAGTGCCAATCTGTTCCGATCGAAGGGCGTACTGGCGTTCAAGGACCAGGAGCGAAAGTATGTGTTCCAGGTACGTGAGCTGTGTAATGTTTTTTTTTTTTTCTTCTGTGGTGTTGTCGTGTCGCACCCAATGTGGCTGTTTCTCTTGTCGGTTATGGTGTGTTGTATCGTTGTGTGTGCATGCAAGCGTGAGAGGATCCATCTCCCCTTCCTCCTCACGCGGCCGCTGTGCCCTCTCTCTTACGGCGGAAAGGAACAGGTGGAAATTCCCGCACGTAGGTACTCCTCCCACTTTTTATTCCACGATGTTTGTACGATATATACTTGCTGCCTGCTGCCGACACCGCCTCGTTTCACGGAACAATTCACGGTCGAGCGATGCAGGGAGTGCACGAGCAGATTGACTGCGAGCCGGCGATTAATGGGTGGGCCGAGGGCGAAGAGCGCGAAAGCAAGATAGGTGAGAATGAAGAAGGGATGTATTCCATATTGATTCGCGGCCCTTTCCGGGTTTATGTTTAAAGGAATCGGCTGCCGAGTGTGCAGTTGTCTGACTCGCGTCGGCCGCTCCAACTGCCTGATGAATGCAACAAATGACTTGGCGGAGAAGAGCATTGGTTCTTTGTCGCGGGTCCCCCTTGTCGGGTGCCCCGCAGGGGAGCGAGCATAACAAGAAGGGTTCAACCCTCTCCTGATTCACAGTACGTTTGTGTAGCTGATCGTTCTCCGCCGTGCCACATGTCTCTCTTCGCACGAATGTGCCTTCCCTGTTTGATTCGTGTCGCTGTTTAGTGCTGTTGCTGGTCTTGCACGTGGTGGCTTGTCATGATATACTCTCTTGCTACCTGCTGTTCCTTGGTGTCGTTTCACATCGTACAATTGACTAATAACCGCGTCTTTTCTCATCGGTTTGGTCCCTCGTTTGTCAAGTCTTCATCGGTCTCGACCTGGACAACGACTACATCACCGAGAGCCTCAAGGCGTGTATCGTGCCAGAGGCGACAGAGGCGTGACGTAGAGAAATATTACACACCTACCGTGACCGTTGGGACGATGATACTTGTATCCGAATGGTCCTTTGATTGCCGAACAACATGGTATTTGCGTATAAGCAGGAAAAGTCGGAGCGAAAAACAGCAGCCCCCTTTCTTCGAGACAACTCACAGCGAGACGTCGTGCGACGAAGAGAACGAAGCACGAGGAAAATAATCGCACGTCCGTTTGGAAGTATCGCACGTTTTTGTTTTTTCTGCGCGGCAATGAAGCACGGGTTAGGATTGAGGATTGTCTTCGGATCTTATAGCCACGTACCCCCGTGTATATGTCGAGAGGAAGAGAAAGACGAGTTCCCCAGCTGCGTGTTGGACTCTCGATGGAAAAGCTTCATCTTGTTTATCGTTATTTTACGAGGGTGTGGCTACTGCTGGACTCACCGATTGTATATGCGCCTCTTCGATCTGTTGGAGGAAGGTCGATGCGAAAAATGACTATCGGGGTACAGCAGGGTGTTGTGCTGCCTCTGTTTTATTTGTTGTTATATTGAAGAAGTCTCCTGTTTTTTTCTGATGTGGTCGCAGTCTCCTTTTTTGTGGGTGATCGGTTTGGCGCAGGCGGGCGCCGCGCCCTCGGTGGAATATGGTTTCACCGAGGAAGGGAGGTCTTCGGGACCTCGCCCGCGGGAGAGGGGACTCAAACTGTATGCATGCGCTTGTTGTTTGCATGTGGATTGAAGGCGTTGTGAAAGTATCAAGCGTGTTCCTGTGGACGCTTCGTGTTTTCACATGTTTGTTGTGTGACGCTATACCTGGACGTGTCCTTGCAGAGTTTTGATAACTTTCCCTCCGATCCATCGCCGGTAGCTTGTTAGCGGAGTGGATAGCCGAAACCGGGCTCATGTCGTAGCTGTGTGTGCCCGATTCAGGTGTTGTACTAGTATCTGTTGCGATGTTTCTAGTTGCCTGCCTCCCGTGGAAGAGATCGCTCTCTAAGAAGTCGCCGCGAAATCTCATCAATAGTTCGAAGTATTTAGGTTAGTAGCGTGCGTGCCTTTGGTGAGGGCACGCACATGTGAATGGGTGGCGATGGTGGGGTCTACCCAAACAGTTGAATGGCACGCCCTTGAAAGGGCTGCTGCTTTCGACTGACCGTGCCCCGAAGGCTTGAGGGTTTTTGGAAACGGATGCATGACATGTATGCCCCGAGTCACTCGGTTGATGGTAATGCCGTTCTTTTTTATTCCTTAGAGCGCATCTTTGATTTGGTTGCGCGTCGCTTCCTGACGACGAGTGGTCAAGTGCATCCGTCTTTCGGGGTTAGGTGCTGTGGCAACCCCCTCATGCGGGCGTTAATATGTCACGAGGGTGAAAGCAAAAAACCCGAACAACCGGTGCAAGTTCAAATTTCGAAGGAAAGCACGATTGGTTCTAGCTCACACTGTTGGTTTTTCACGGCAAGGAAGGTCTCTCTGTCGGTTGGGGAATGACTATCTCCCTCTCAGTGCACTCCAACTACAATTCTTGACGCACCGCCGGCGACCGCAAGGTTGGAGCATGACCAGAACTCTTCTGCGAGGTTCTACACTCGGTCGCTGCAGCACTCAAGGTTGACGTCTCTCCAGTCGGGCTTGTTGGGCGAAACGCCTTCAAGCCCCCGGTTCTCTTGCTACGGAAAGATGGAAGCGAAAGAAACCCTTGCCCTCCACCGAACAGGGGCACGTACTCCACTTGCAGCTCGAAGAGCTGGAGCAGCCGCAGCGTGTTTTTGTTATGGAGTTTTGCGCTATCCCGCGGGTGAACGCGCCTGCCAACGGCTGGTTGTCTGCGTCGATGTTTGCTTGCGGTCATGATTGGCTTGAGTGCCTTGTGCAACTCTGCAGTTACGTTGGTGCTGTAGCAGATGTCGCATTCACTCACATTAGGGTACTTCAATTCGTATGCTTCGACACCCCGGCGACCCCTCCCCAGATATCTGGCAATGAATCTGACACTCGTTCCATTGGCGAGGGAACTTTGTCGTAGACGTGATGCCGGGCCACTGCAGTATTATAGTGCAGCTCGCAAAAGAAGCCCGCTCGCCTGAGGTGGTCGGCCTCCGGAGGACGAGGGGCCGGACATAAACTCGAGCGGTGACGTAAATCATGCACCCCGAAACGAAAGGCGTTTCTGGGGGTTGGCGCGCAGAATAAGATTGGGTACCAAGCGGGACTGGATGGAGTATGATTATGTCGGTCTACAATAGAGGCGGACGGCGCACTAGGCACAGTTGCCAGCCCTTGTATGAAGTACAACGTTCCGCAGTTCAGTCGAGTACGGGGTGTTTTCATTCACGCCGAAGAAGCGTGACGCTACCCCGGGCTCTTTGATTCACTTTTTCTTGATCCTTCAGTACATGGGATGAAGTGTCGATGATGTGGATGATCGGTGCGTGTGTGGTTTCTTGACCAACACGTTGCGAGTAACTTGTGGCCGTGTCTTATCTGTGCTGCAGGTCACAACAGGTTCTTTTGGCAATTGCAGGCTTGACGTGCGCCCTGCACTATCATGCCAATGGCCACAACTAAACAGAGAGGAACTGGGGGAGGGGTAAATGTGTTCCTTAACTACATTGGGCCTGCCCTGGTTCAACAGCAAATAGATGTAGGTGTCCGGGACATGTTTGTTTTCGGACAAACTCCTCAACAGGTAGCATGGCAAGCACTAAAGTGAGTAGCAACTCGACAAATTTCGTCGACGTTGCCTGTATGAGGCGTTCCTTGTTTTGTCACACGGGAAGCCGCAACTGCTCGCAGGGACCAGTTTCGAGTACGAGATACATGACGTGAAGAAGGAACAGCTTCGATGAGACCGCAAAATGAAATATATCCACGATGAGCCTTGAAGTAAATACGTTGGAAAAAAAAACAAGGCAGAAGAAATCCAAAGAACACGAACGATGGCAAGATCATGTTATCGATATCCTCACAGGATGCCGTCGTCGACATTGTAGACTTGACAATAGATCGCACCAAGTTGAGGCCGATATTTGTTGTTTACACCGCACGCCCAAACCCACACCTTGTGGCCACCACACATTTAACTAAACTTTCGTGCCACGACGATGAGGTTTACTGGCGTCCTCCGTGTGGTCGTCACACCCTGCGATGTGTGCTCTTGTGGATGGTGTGCGTACAAACTGCGGTGGCGGTTCGGCGAGCTTGTGCCAGCTGCTGTCGTAGACATGATGAGAAATCACCTCTCCACAATACGGAAAATGCCACATCGCTGATGGGGGGTACTTCCCACATTATTATTAGTCGATGTTCTTGGCAAACATTTTCCCCATCAAGGGTACACGCGAACAAAAATCAAGGCACATTGGCCTACTAATCGAAAATTGGGGTCCGTGGCGGGGGGGGGGGG